GGCTCGGTCATGTGCAGTCAACACCCATCTCTGCACGGTTGCTGGATGGCGGCTGAACCCAATAATGCCTCCCACGGTCTTTGTGGCCCGGTTTATCGACTGTTCAATGGCCTGGTCAGATGGGACCTGAGCAAATGGGTTGTCGGAGCGCTGGACGGAGAAACCTCCTTCTTGCAGGAACCGATCCGCTTCGGGATGTGTTGTTGGCAACTGGGTCATTTGCAGCCAATAATAGGACATGTAGCGGGCATAGTTTTGCCTGTCGTACGCAAAGCACCAAGGGAGCATTTTCAAAACGCACTGCAGATGGAGCTTCCAATCTGCCATTCGACTTGCACGCAAGAACCGGAGCAGAAGGCTCACCATGGCAATGTAGGAAGACCAGAAGTTGAACATTTCTGATGAAGCGGCCTGCTTCCGGCAGTACTCCGTATACTGCTTGTGCAACTCCACAGCCTCCGGTGATGCCGTGATGCACGCCGAGTTGTCATCGGTGACACAAGACTGTAGCTCCTTGAATGAAGACGTTAGTGAAGATCGGAGGGCTGCTAGGTTGATGATCGTGGGATCCGCATCTTGCACGAACTGTTGCCACCGCATCCGATGCAAAGCCTCTGCAACAACCTTGTGCAAACGCACAGCTCGGTTGTATTGAGTCCCGTCTAACGCAGACGAGGCAGAAGATGGTCCAGCTATCCCGGACTCAACGAACAGATCAAGGAGACCTGCATCACGGAAACGCTTCCCGATGATGGCGAGGAACGTGCAGGCTGCGTGAAACGCTCCCAATCTCAGCACCACGGGTGAGAACTCGTCAGGCCGGTGGTTAATAATGTCCAATGCCTTTGCGTAAATGGCTTGGTCCACTACAATGATGCTAAATGGGAGGCCAGCATTGGCACATCGACCGAGGCACTTTCTGAGGATGGCGTAGACTGTTGACATGTCAGTTGGTGACGAGTTGACCACAGGGCAGTAACCTATGGCAGACCGTGGTGGGATGCATTGGCGTTGAAGCAGGGCATTAAATGCCGACCACGCTGGAACTGTCTGGTCTTGATCAGTGCGGGACAAAATGACGTTGCCGATGTCACCGTCCTTTGAAGCCCGTGCAAGCTGCCAGATGAAGTCATCCATGGCCACCGCGTCAGAACAGTGAGGCAGTGAGGTGTCCAGCGTCTCCACGTCAACTGCCTCACGGCGCTCTGGGTTGACTTTTGTCGGGCACACTAATTCGGGAAGAACCTCAGGTTCGAGGGCCAGCGTACGCTTGCGTTTTCGTGCTGGCTCAGCAGGAGAAACATCACTGTCAGGGCGGCTTACAGATGAAGCACGGGGCTGGACAACAACGGTGTTGGTGCAGTGTGTGGTCCCTTTCCCGTCCAGAGTCTCCTCGTTTAAGTCGTTATTATCTGCTACATGGTAGAATGGCCTGTGGGGGTCAATGCCACCCGGTAACGCATCCACTATGTGCCCGTCTCGCACTCGCCGCTCTGCCATAGCAGTCTCCCTTTCCAAAACCTGGGAGTAGGCAATGGTGTGCCCAAACCGGTTAAGCATTTTCAGCAGCTTCTCGCTCCGGTAGAGGTGATGTAGGGTCAGTCCCAGAACAACATGTTTGGGGCACGGCAGTCCTGATGTAATATACAGCAAATCCTGGCCAATGGAGGAGACGTGACGTTGCAGCTGCTCATCCAAATCAACTTTGTCCTGACCGATGTCATCATGATGCTGGTCAGTCACTACCCAAGCCAGAAAGTTGTGGAGTAGGCTGGGTAAGCATGCGTTTGCTTCAGCAACTGTTGGGATTTCCCCGCTTGACTCTTGGGCCTTTGTCTCCTGGCACGCAGTCCGTAAAAGACGTGCCGCGTGATATACAATACGCAGGCGATCTTGTGCTACAACACCTTCACCTCCTGAAGTGTTAGCTGCATTGTCCTCCTCCACCCAAATATCATCATCAACCCCATCCGAATCCCTCGCCTCTTCCACCTCGGCATACAAACTGGCTATTATCTCACTGGCATGGGCATTAGCGAAAACTAGCTCAGCCCTGTTCCGGGACGGACGGCGCACAAAAGTGACAGATTCACCAAACCGTTCTGTGATAGCAGCTTTGGTTCTGTCATTCCTAGCAGTTCCATGTACTGTCGCGTTGTAGTCTGCCGTAAGACGTGAAATGCTAACAGCAGTGCGTTCCACAAACAGCAACTGGTGTACTAGGTGGTAAAAGTCTTCGATGTTTCCCTCTTGTCTTGGTGTTGACAGGTCATGCTCAGCGCTACCTGCAGACGAGCTAGTGACTAGGGTCGATGTAGCTGGGGTCGATGTAGCTGGTGTGCTGTCACGGATTCGTGCAAGGGATGACTCTCTTGTAAAATCGTTGTAACACTGTTTGTGATAGTATGCCTCTCTTGCAATGAGGCTACTGACTGCTGAAATGGCAATCGAAATGCCCTCGTCCTTCCGTATGGCAGCAGCTTTTCTCAGCCTTTCCTCAGCTTCGAGTGTCAAAATCTGCGAAGTACTCTGCTTTTTGTTGGTACCTGGTATTCTTTTCTGGATGGATCCACAAAATATGCAATTCTTCCTTCCTGGCTCGATACGAGGAACTTCAACGGACTGGCGAGTACTGCGCTTGTTTAGGGACTCTGAAGAAGCAGGCGAGGACGCCATGAGCTGGACGACAAAGGCCTAACACAACGCGCAATCATTGCTTGACATAAGGAAAGGAAGAACAGGAAATGGCTGTACGTGCAATAAGAAATTTGACAATGTGTTCGCCGTCACCTGATCACTCAGTTCAAAATTTCCAAATTCTGCGTGGCGTGCATCACTTGATCCGTTTTGAGCAGTTTCCGTGCATGCTCAGAATCCCCGTACACGACAGCTGTGCATATTTGACAGCTGTCGAACCCCCTCAATTCCACGCGAAAGGACAAGTCCCCTGACACCAAACCTACATCATTGTGCTCGTAAAGGAACACTCTATCACGTAGAGTCAACAAACCTTGGTACCCCATCAGCGGGAACGAAATTTTTTTTGGAGCATTTTTTTCCGCTTTGGCCTGCGGACTAATGGGTTCGAACCCCATATCCTCCAGAACTTTTTTTACTCAGCGCAACAACCATTGTGGAAAAAAAGAAATGTCCTCCCCGGCCGGGAATCGAACCCGGGTCTTCCGCGTGACAGGCGGAGATACTTACCACTATACTACCGAGGATTGACTGAAGTACCTAGCAACCTTATGAATAAAGTAGTGCCCTGCTCCAGTGCACAGAACAGTATGTGTAGTACTAAGGCTGTGAAGCCTCCCCCCCCCCCCGTGCTATTTTAGTCATGAGGTTGGGTTTCTCTAGCCAGTACCGACCTAGTTTAGTTAAGGCCTGGCGAAGTATTTAAAGGTGGGGTGCGCATTGAAAACTGAAGCCGCTGATGTAGGCTGGAAGAGCAGCAGACACTGAACACTGAAGAAGTCCAGAAAGCTGATGAAGGTCCCCCCCCCCCCCAACAGTTGTCTGATCCCATGCAGATAGGCGATAGGAGATGTACAGTAGAACTAGTAGTACTACTAGTGCTGTAAAGAGTTTGGAGTTTTGGGCGTAGCATCTCCAGATCCTGAGCCTACTGGAGTACCTCTTGATGGCTCAAGTGGTCACTTGAAATGTGCCATTGCATCCCCGGAGATATGGTGGGAGTGACGGCAGCAGCTTGGTAACAGCAGCTTGACTTGGGGAGGCAGTGGCATTGAAAACTTGTCCTAGATCTCACATTCCTGACAGGGTGGTTCTCACCAGCTCCACATGGAGCACGCTAGAGAAAATGCTGAAGTGAAGTGCTAGGTGCTCAAACTCGTGTCAGCACTCAATAAACCAGATGGTAGATTAGTGTCTTGCAGGAGTTTAGCATCTGGTTGTCATGTATCAGCCATACCGAAGGTGTACATATGCTAAGTGGTAACGTGCCTCCCATCAATGCCAGTCAGGCCTTTGTGTGGTGGTAGCGATGGCTTTGTGTGCTGGCAGTGTTACCAGATGTTCACCTCGCACATGCCAGGGTTGTATGGGCGGATGTGAATACATATGTCACACATTGTACAATGGCATGTGTCCGGAAGGCCTCTTTGCATTAATATTATAAATGGAATGCCTTAGTGGTCAGGTAGTGCATTAGATCTGAAGCTACATGTATGCGGGAGAGAAAATACAAACAGGAACATCCACAACGACAGTGAGTCAGTGAGTCAGTGAGTCAGGGGGCAACCCCCCCCCCCCCAAACTGTCAAGATAAGGGTCCATGAAGGGAAGGCATGCTTGGAATACCCCCCCCCCCCCTCTCGGGTCGGTACCAGTTCCACTCGATGTCTGGTGACATATTTGGGAAATGTGCCATGTGATACGGTTCTACCTGAATTCTAAACTACCTTTGCGCATGCATCACACTGACAAGTAAGTTAGATCTGACGTCAATGTGGACAGTTTACACGAAGTGTCACCGGGCAAACAACGTGGGTTGGAGAATTTACATGTCACTGCATCTGCACATGCAGCAGGTCCTGTGTAGTGTAGCTGCTGTGCAAGCAAACGCACACCAGATGCCACCTCTAGCGTTGCTCTGGTCAACAACCACGTCATTCTCTCCTGGAGCGTGCCATCACCACACCTGCTTAACTGCAGACATGTCTACGCATAGTAGAGTATTGGCATTTTTTGGAATGCATGGACACGTTATGCAAACCTGTACTTGTGGTAAGAAATGCCACAGGGACCGACTGGCTTCTTAGTGGCGTCCTTGATCCTCATGAGGGAATTTGCATTCTTTGTTCGTCTTTTCCAAGCGATCATCATGGCATCCTCCATCCAAGGATCAACGTTGATGGTTCTGAGGCATTGCTGATTGTGCGCTGGGCCAAACTGCCATTGTGCAGTATATCCATCACCAGCACAAAGGGACGAATGACATTTGATCCTGTACTTGCAATCCTACACTCCATGTTAGTATGTCTTTCCCTCGCCCCCGTACGTGCACTGTTCTGTCACTTCAGAGCTTGAGTCAGGGCACTTGGATGTCAGTGTGGCGATGGATTGCAGTGCACACTGACACGCAGCGACCGTGTTACTCTCATCTTCGGCTCCTTCTTGTCATTCTTCACCAGTACTGTCATAGTGGCAAGATGCTCTTGTTCGAACAGGAAAACCACGTCACCACATTGCCACCCGTGACAATGTCCCCAGCGATAGAAGCACATTGACATGAAAACGCAACGATATCCGCGGCATGAACTCCGCTTCTTACTTATAGCACTTGGGCAAAGCAAGTATAGCCTAGGTAGTGTGGCTTGCAAGTTTTCGATTGACATCAGATCACGGCAGGTGTGACTTGGCTTCATTGCAGGCTCTGAGAATGATATCATCCTGCAGTTGATTCCGCGCTCTTTCTCTATTATGAAAGGAGCAATTGAGCTGGATCACAATCTGCTCTCACTGATCCATAGGGCACACAGACGGATGCATTCCGGATGAATAGACAGCTTTTTACAATTGATATCCGGAATGCGAAACTGTTTAGAGGGTTAAAATTACCTAAAAACAGTTTTGCATTCCGGATATCAATTTAATACGGTGACAGACTGGCCTTGTATTAGCAGTACATATCATGCGGCTTCCATATGCGAGCCGGAAGAAAATTGGTTGGAACCGATATCCAGTGTGAATGCCACCAAGCTCAAGGACGAATGCGGAAATGCAGCTCCTACAGCAGGGGGAGGTGGGTAGATCAGACCCACCAAGAAAGTGGTCAAAGGCAAGAAAAATCCTGTTCGCTCCGTCCATAAAACTAGCATAGAAAGAAAAGAAGAAAACACATAGATACACGTCTAAGCAGGAAAGAAGTGGATTGAGGCATCCTGACTGGCTTGGTGATGTGGATTTACATACATACATGTGCTTACGAGGCGGACAGAATAATAGTGCTAACACGAGAACTGTGTGCAGAAAAGATGGGACCTGGTTCTAAAGACCACCCGGCTTTAACGACCGCTTTTGCTTGCATCGTGGGGGGGGGGGTGTGGGTGTGGGTGGTGGTCGCTTAAACCAGGTATTACTGTACTTGCTTTGCTTATTTAATTCTAGGACTCGGTATTTCTAAGTTCTATTCTATTCTATTCCTGGTGTCCCGCATGTGACTGATCTGCATGCTCAGGTTCAGCGTGTAGCACGAGCTGCGATCTCCCGCTGCGCCCGCAACTGCCTGACAAATGCCTGCTGGAAGAGGTGTGTCCAATAGGGGAGGCGTCGTCATCGCCAACGCTATCCAGCCGTATCCGTGCCGAGCTGGCAGTCCAGTCTCTACTGGCAGGCTGCGCTGACAAGCTGCATCCGGTCGGCAATAACTACGAGGTTCACGGGATATGGACGCCGGGATTGTTCCGTTCGCCCGGCACCGAGCGGCGTGTGTCGCTGGAACTGCAGCATTTGAAGCCGGAGCAGCCGCTCGACCGGCCCATCGTCATAGCGATACTGGCCGACGTCGAAGACGTGGGCAACATGACCGTGGAAATCGACACCAGCTGGTTGAACGTGACCACGCACAGTCTGACCATATTGGTAAGTCATGAGCTGGAGAGCGTACATCTGAACGATGTCGTGACCTTGAAGTCTGTGGTTGCATGTGCATGGATATGTGCATGAAGGAGCAGCCGCTCAAAACAATTTTTTCTAAACAATATTCGATACGAAATAGTGGTTGCAACTTTGGCGATGGTTATTAGGAAAGGGTTTGCTCCCCACACTGGAGCTCGCGCTATTCCGCCGACTTTACTTGACACTTGACTGACTCACGTCTGCCATCCAGAGCACACAAGAAGTCCATCGAACCTTCGACTCAGCAAACCTGCAAGAAAGCAAAACTCCCTGCTTAATACACAGTGTTTCGGGGAATTCACCCCTCATCAGTTGAGCTTGAGTAGGCTGAGGAAGATTGTGTCTGAAAAGCATCACTTATATAGTGCTCTCCAGGCACAAACATCGCCAGGGATACATACTTACAGAGAGGCTCCATTTCCAGCGCGACAAACACCACACTAACACCTATACTTATGTTTTTTTGCAGCTACGAGTGTGGCACGCGTTTTTCAAGCTCGTAGCTTTTCGTTTTTTTGGACATCCCAGCCGGCATCAGGCCGGACTGGAGATAGCTAGGTGGGTAGTAGTAGTAGTAGAAATAGTGTAGGATAGTCTAGATAGTTAGGTAGGGCCAGGCAGGAACCCTTCGCCATGGGCGAGCTCTCTGCTGAGGCCGTGACGAAGCTGCTTTGCACCCTCCCGGGGATTGAGCAGGGTCTCCTTGCAGTGATGCAAACGCTGGCAAAGTTCGCGACCGAGTCTGCTGATCGCGAAGCGCGGATGAAATGCAAAATTGGTGAGCTGGCAGCGGAAGTAAAAGATTTGAAGGAAGAGTTAGTTGTTTCAAAAAACTCCGCCATTGCCTGGATGCAGTCGAAGACGACGAGAAACAGCTCACCAGTTCAAGCAGACGTACATCGTACGCAAAGTAGTACCGGTAGTACCCGTGCCAGCAAACGCAGCGCCAAGCAAGCTGCAGCTCACATGGAACCCAGCAGCACCGTATCACGTACTGGCGTCACAAGCGCGGATCGAAAGCCCCACGGCCCCCAGGCCCAGGGAAGCGGTGGCTTGGCAAAGGCAGAGTGTTCTGAGTCACAGCCCAAGACAGATGTGACAGAGTCCAAGTCCCAGACAGATGTGACAGAGTCCAAGTCTCAGACAGATGTGACAGAGTCCAAGTCTCAGACAGATGTGACAGAGTCCAAGTCCCAGACAGATGTGACAGAGTCCAAGTCTCAGACAGATGTGACAGAGTCCAAGTCTCAGACAGATGTGACAGAGTCCAACGGCAAGCCAATCTTCCATGTTATCGAGGATGACTCATGGAAGCTTGTCTCCTCAGAACCACCCAAGAACAAGCGTGCCGTAGTGTACGTGGGCAATATCGCCACAGATAGCACTGAGAGCCACTTCAGGCAATTTATCAAAACCAGGAGTGAGTTTCTGGGCGCCTCTATTCCTGTCCACACCTGCAGTGTATGGCTGTCAGAAAGTGGGCGTGCTTCCGCCAGAGTGACCATCGATGCCACTTCATTCTCCACAGTTACAGCGCCCAACTTCTGGCCAAGACCCCTATACTGCAGGCCATGGAGGTTCTCTGAAACCAGCCCTGAGGGCAGCACCAGCAGTCGCTGCCACAGTAGCAGAAACAGCACCTCTGCCAGTGTTCTGACTAAACAGCAACAGCAACAACAGCAGCAGGGCTCAACCTCCTCCCCGCCGCCGCCGCCGCCACCACCGCCGCCACCACCACCGGCAGACATCATCTCCACTCCACTGCCTGGTGGCCAAAAACGGAGAAACTCCCACCTCTCCCCACCAGAGGCTGGAGACCTGAAGAGATCAAACGGATCTGCGCCACAACATGACCTACATGGTCACCAATGAAGCGCTTCCTCAGGCTCCTACTCACCAATGCTTTTGGCCTAAAGTCAAAGCTTGGTGAACTTGCACATGTTGCAAAGTGCTCCTCACCTGATGTCATCGCTGTTACGGAGACAAAATTCTCAACCGCAAAGGTCACTGACAGTGAGGTCTGTCTGTCCGGATACGCTGCCCCAATCCGACATGACAGAAACGCTCATGGAGGCGGAGTTGCCATCTGGGTGAAATCAAACATGGCCTTCCAGCACCTGGACCGGTTCAGCACGGAACACCACGAAGTGATATGGATATCTGTATCAACAGCTAGCCGGTCCAAGATTGTTATCTGTACACTCTACCGATCAGGCTCCACAGCCGGGACAGACACCGAGCTGATCGAATACCTTGATACCCACCTAGATGAGGCCCGCAGCCACGGTGACTATGTTATCCTCGCAGGGGACTTCAATGTCCACAATGCAGCATGGCTAGGGAGTACCAAGACTACCTCGGCAGGAGAAGCAGCCGAGGAACTCTGCTATGTTCATGGCCTGGAGCAACATGTCAACATCCCCACACGTGGAGACAACACCCTGGACCTTGTGATGTCTGACTTCAGTGAACCCATTCAGGTGAAATGCCATGCCCCACTGGGGTCCTCTGACCACGCTGTCCTCACCATGGACTTCCCTATCTCTGCGTTCCGTGAACCAAAAACCACACGCACTGTCTGGCGGTACAACCAAGCAGACTGGAACCGCCTCTGTCACTTTTTCCTAGCCTATGACTGGTCAACTGCCTTCACCACCAGCGCTGATGAGTCGTGCGCCAACATCACCGAAGTTATCCTCCAGGGTATGTCACGTTTCATCCCATCCCGGCAACTCACATCCCGGCCGACGGATCCAGCTTGGTGGACCCCTGAGTGCACGGATGCCATAAAAGCAAAAGAGAGGGCTTGGGCTACTGCCAGACGGCAGAAGTCAACAGCAGCGCGGCAGACAGCCTCAGCAGCCACTCTACGTTGTAATGACATCCTCCAGCATGCCAAGGTGGCCCGCCTGGCTACCCTGCGTACTAAGCTCTCCAAAGCTAGCCTGAGTGACCGCTCGTGGTGGTCTACCATCAAGCAAGCAGGTGGCAGCAGCAGAAACACGTCCATCCCAACTCTTACGCCGCAGCCTGGTTTGGAATGCGTATCGAATGCCGAAAAAGCTGAGTGTTTTGGGCAGTATTTCGCCTCAAAGTGCAGCCTGGGCGCCGACGACTTCCCCGCGAACCAACCAGCGACTGATTTCCTCCACATTGCAAAGCGCACGGCTGAAAAGCTCTCAACGGTTCGGTTCCACCCTGCCACTGTCAAGAGAGAACTCCGCCGCCTAAATGCATCGAAAGCTACTGGACCGGATTGCATTCCCGCACGAGTTCTGAAGATGTGTGCCGACCCCCTAAGTAAGCCACTCTCCAAACTGTTCTCCCTTAGCTTCTACAGCATGGTTATGCCGACATCCTGGAAGACAGCTAGAGTCACACCCATTCACAAGAAGAAATCCAAGAACCTGCCTCAACACTACAGACCTGTGTCTCTGCTGTCTATCATATCCAAAGTGATGGAAACAATTGTCAATCGTCAGATAACCAGTTTCGTGGAGTCCCACAATGTCATCTCTGCGAAACAGTTCGGGTTCAGAAAGGGCCTGAGCACAGCCGACGTCTTAACCAAGCTCCACTGTGAATGGTCCCGAGCAGCCGGCCTAGGAGGAGCCGCCCATGTTTTGGCGATAGACATAGCAGGCGCCTTTGATAAAGTCAGCCATGCTGGCCTGCTGCATAAGGCTTCCGTGTACGGTATAGACGGCCCGCTTCTCGGATGGCTGGAAAGCTACCTGCACAACCGGCGCCTGCAGGCTGTTGTGGGCGGCCAAGAGTCCTCCCTGCACCATATCCAAGCAGGGGTACCACAAGGTAGCATCCTTGGACCAACGTTATTCCTCCTGTACGTGAATGACTGCGAGGACACCTTGCCTGCTGGTGCTGAGCTTGCCACGTATGCAGATGACACGACACTGTATCAGTGCATCTCTGCCACCGCCAGCATATCCGACTCTGCAGCACAACTCCAGGAAGCAGTGGACGCCGTCTCCCACTGGGGTTCCAAGTGGAAGGTCACCTTCGAGCCATCCAAATCTCAGGCCCTCATCATCGACCACCGCAAGCCTCCCCCAGCGTTCCCACCAGTGCTCTTCAATGGAGTGACTGTTCCTGAAGAGAAGGAAATTAAACTTCTGGGCATAGCATTCGACTCGCAACTGTCCTACGCAGCACACGTCCGGGCCGTGGCCTCAAAGGCTGCCCAACGCCTACACTTCCTGAGAAAGGTTGCGCCCCTGTTGGACTCCAGCGGCCGCACGGCAGTCTACAAAGGCTTCGTGCGGCCAACAATGGAATACTGCTGCCTGGTGTGGATGGGGTCAGGTACATCCAGACTGGACAAAATCCAGCACAAGGCACTGAAGGTGATTGGCCCAGGCGCCTGGCTCCCCAGCCTGAAACACCGCCGACTGGTTGCTGCGCTTTCGTTCACGTTCAAGCTGTCTTACCTTCCAACAACAAGCCCCCTGAAGCCCATCCTCCCACCTCCAGCCAATCCCCGCCCAGTGGGTGGTCGATCCACTAGGTTAGCCACGGAGACTGCCCACTGCCACCCACTCCAGCTGAAGTCGACGCTGCCCGTGCGCATTCGTAGCAGCCTCCAGGATTCCTACCCAGACTGCATTATTCCCTTGTGGAACAGCCTACCAGCGACCATTCTACCAGCACGGCCGCAACCCAGCCAGCTCCAATTATTCAAAGAAAAATGCAACAAGTATCTGCTGCACCTGAACTGGCAAGCAGCCACCGACGCCCTATGAAACGGTTTAGACCAGTGCCTCACTAGCATCCTCCCCCCCCCCCCCCTTACCACAATGTGACGTTGTCTTTCACTCTGCTTCTCTCACGACCATCTACCCATTGTCCTTGTTTCTCACTATTATTCATTTCCCACCTTCCTCCCATCCTCATGGTTTTACTGCATTATGGCGCGCTTTGTCTGCGTAGACGCCGAGACCTTTGAGGTCGGCAGAGCAGCCTGGCCCCGCCACCACTTCTCGCACATATTCGGGAATATAGTGGACTTTCGTATAAAAAAAAAAAAAAAAAAAACACCAGATAGCAGCGTGAGTCAGTGTCGCTCCTGGACGGTGAGAACAGACGTCGGTGATCCTCGGTCATTCACAACGCTGTTGTGTGGCCCTCCGCCGCGATCCAGTGATACAAATGAACACCAATTATTGTGTTGCTCTGGGTATCTTGTCACTCACTGTTCAGGTTTCCCAGGGCATAACCCTCTGCCATAGTGGGCGACATGCCGTGGAGATCATCAGCAATGCCATGCGGAAGCCGTCGGAAGCGTTCAGGTGGCTGTGGAACCGCCATGGTCTGGTGCATACGTTTGTTGCAGGACTCAATCGGCACCTGGACTCCAATATTGATCACCTGACCATACATATTGGAAACGGTGAGGGATATGGCTTACATATTCTAGTTTTACGACTTTTTTGGTGCAACACACAGAACTTGCTTCTCAGCTAAGATTTCGTTTCGTTGTCTGTAAATCCAGGAGCTGCACACCTAACCAGTCACTTGTCTCCACGTATGTCGCACATCCCGCAAGCCAGACAAGAAGAAAGTGACTGCTGTACAACTTCCCTTATCCTCATGTGTGCACGAAGAGAAAAAAAGGCAGTTGCAGGAATTCTGTGTTCTTGGAGTGTGCACAAAGAGAAAGATTGGCCATAGCACGAGTTCTGTTTTAATCTCCATAATTATGCACACAGTCATTCCAGCCACAGCACCTGCCCCAACCCCAGTCCCAGCCTGATCTCCTCCTCTCCCCACCCCCACCCCCTTGTTCCAGCCCCTGCCGCAAACTCACTCCCAGACTTACCCCCTCCCCCCGTCCCCCACCGGTTCCAACCTGATTTCTGCCTTGTTTCCTAACCGAGTTGAGTCTTGCCCGGCAGAACCGGTCCGGTTGGTCAGGCCATGGCCGGACCAACGTTTGGACCACCAACGTGTGCTTACTGCCAATGGGTCATGTGTATACCCCGCTACATATCATACACAAACTGTATGAAAGTCATGTGACTACCCCGCTACATATCATACACAAACTGTATGAAAGTCATGCGACTACCCTCCATATCATACACAGAGTATGAAAGGCTAGGGTATGGCCAGACCAATCTAAAACTGATTCCGCCGGTCCTGCTAGTTCTCTTGCTCTCTTCCCAAGACCAGTCCCCAAGTCCCAGATCTAGCAATGGCTGTAGCTCCAGCCTGGGTCTGTGTTCGTGGGTCTGTGTTCCCGGGTACCGTATTTTACCGGTTATAAGTCGACCTTTTTCGACTAAAAGTCAAAGGAGAAAATTGAGGTTCGACTTACAACCGGGATTCGACTTATAACCGGGAACTACCAGCAACTTCCAAAAAAGACCTGCGCTGCATGCACGGGTGTGCAGTGCAGGTCTTTTTGCCAGTTCATTTGCCTTTTTCCATGATTTGGATGGTGTTGATGTGATTTGTTGATGTGTTAGTAAAGGGAGTGGTTAGCAGTGCTTGGTTAGGTGACAACTTTAAAAACAGAAATAAGATCTTCGGATTCGGGGTTCGACCTATAACCGGGGTCGACTTATAACCGATAAAATACGGTATGTGTTCCAGGGTCTGTGTTCCAGGGTCTGTGTTCCAGGGTCTGTGTTCCTGGGCCTGTGTTCCTGCCCGGGTCTGTGTTCCTGCCCGCATCTGTGTTCCTGCCCGGGTATGTGTCCCTGCCCGGGTCTGTGTTCCTGCCCGGGTCTGTGTTTCTGCCCGGGTCTGTGTTCCTGCCCGGGTCTGTGTTCCTGCCCGGGTCTGTGTTCCTGGGTCTGTGTTCCCCCACATGCAGGTGCAAATCACACAGACACTTTCTCATCACAGCTGTCCAGAATGGCCGTTGTACGGAATATGTGGAAATACGTTTTGTTGCGAATTCAGTTGGTGAGCCAGGCCAGGGAAATCTTTAAAAAATATTGATATCATGGAAAACAGAGAGGTTCCTGGCTGTCCAAGAGAGTGCTCAATACCGAGTGGTAGAGCTGGTTCAAACAATAGGAGGACAGAGGAAGTGTTTTTACTCAGAGTTTCACGCACTAAGCGATCATCAGAAAACACTGTTTTCTGATGATCGCTTAGTGCGTGAAACTCTGAGTAAAACACTTCCTCTGTCCTCCTATTGTTTGATATCATGGAAACGGTGGGACACAAGTTTTAGAATGTTTTGATTGGTTGACAGCATGTTACAAGGCGGAGGGTGCACTGTGTAGAAACACAGTGCTCCTGGCTACAACCATCATCGGTTGGCAAAGCCCCGGTCTTGCGTCAAGTTACCCGTTCTATACCATCTAGACCAGAGTTTCGGGTGGAGAGCCAAGGATTATAAGAAGAAAAAGAGGACCAAAGAGCTACAAGTTACGCTATATTATCCACTGACACCACCAGTTACTTTACAATCAGCTCATGCAATAACATTGCACGACATTGCATTGTACATTGCTGATTGTGAAGTAACTGGTGGTGTTAGTGGATAATATAGAGTAAATTGTAGCTCTTTGGTCCTCTTTTTCTTCTTATAAATTAGACCAGAGTTTCCTTTCTGTTTGTTGTATATTCATCGATGATTGTGCATTCTAAAGGTTATGACCCGAAGGACGATTCGACACCTACCTGGTCCTGTAACAATGTGTCCAAATCACACGGAGCGCAAGAGATGGAACTGAAGCTGTTGTCATTCTTGAGCATTCGCCGACTGTCACGCGTCCGAAATGCCAAGCCGGCGCAAACATTCACCGGATGTGCCATCCCAGCATCCACGGCCACGCAGTGTCCCACGTACAACATTCTTCAGTCGACCAATCGTCACCTGTTTGTCCTCGAGGTGGCCGCGCCGTACGATCCGATGCGTCCGGCCGTGAAAACAACTGACCTGTCCAAGAAGCTGATTGTGGAAGTGGACATTGTGGCTCGACTGGCCAAGACCTCACACCACATCACAGTCAATGTGGTGTTGATAAACCGATCGCAAGAACCAGTCCACTGGGACATTGGTGGATACGGTCTCACCAACCAGTCAACACTAGTTATCAAGCTGACGGTAAGTTGAGAGCTTTTATAACTGGTAAGCATAATAATGAAACAATGCAATGGACGGAGAGAGAGAGAGAGAGAGAGAGAGAGAGAGAGAGAGAGAGAGAGAGAGAGAGAGAGAGAGAGAGAGAGAGAGAGAGAGGGGAGGGAGGGAGGGAGGGAGGGAGGGAGGGAGGGAGGGAGGGAGGGAGGGAGGGAGGGAGGGAGGGAGGGAGGGAGGGAGAGGGAGGGAGGGAGGGAGAGAGAGAGAGAAAGAGGGAGAAAGAGAGAGAGAGAGATAGAGAGATAGTGTGTGTGTGTGTGTGTGTGTGTGTGTGTGTGTGTGTGTGTGTGTGTGTGTGTGTGTGTGTGTGTGTAGAAAAAAATGGAAAAATGAAAAATAGGGAATCACTGGCCAGAAAAAGTCACTTCAAACAGCTGTGTGGTGGATACTAGGCTAAAAATAGTGGCGGTCAATTCATCAGTCTTGCAAGCTGTTGAATGGTGTAATCCCAGCACAAGTCGCTATGTCTAACATAGCTGTTCGCTATCATCGCTTCCGCGATGGGCATGTCTGAGGTCTGAGGTGTGCGTGTGTGCGTGTGTGCGTGTGTGCATGTGCATGTGTATGTGTGTCCACCTTGCAAGCTTAGCCTTTATCCATCCCGAGCTGACACACTAGAATTTTGCAGTCTTGCACGCATAGAGGTACCATGTAGGCACCTTGAAAACATTAGCATCTCCTGCAGTGCGCAATCTGTGGAGTTCTTCCATGTCGGATTTCCAGCAGGAAAGGTCAAAGGATATGGATTGATAAATTTGGCCAGGTTTTACCGAATTGGGACCGGCATATCATGGTGAAGTGTATGCAAAAGCCGATCCAAAGCCCAGAGATCCTGTGAAACGCACCCATTCTCTCCACTTATCACACGTATCCGAGATAAGCGGTGTTGCCTGAGCACTCGGATTCAGATGGCCATGATAAGTCAGGATTCTGCACTTTAAAAGTCTACATGTATAGTTAGACGCAGAGCATTTCACTGTCAGTGTTGCACTATGGACTGTGTAGTGGATCTGGGTCCATATTTGTGTTAGAGTGTTTGACCTTTGTCTATGCATTAATCTACCCCATTGCCATTTATGTCTGGCTGGTGACATCATGCATAGTACGCACGTGCACCGTACGACCTTGCGGCATTCACACTGTATGCTGATGGCAACTCATGCTACTTTATCTATAGGTTTTATTCTAGTACAAGTTAGTTGAAAACAGGACGAAGTTGAGTGTGCTTGTGTGTTTGAGATGACTGCGAAAGTCATTACAGACTGCTGAGCGGTTGTGCACCTGAGGGTTTCAATCAGATTGGTGTGGTGTGGATGATTTGCTGTATTATATATGTGTGTGTGTTTTTGTGTGTGTGTGTGTGTTTTTTATGTGTGTGTGTTTTATGTGTGTGTGTGTGTGTGTGTGTGTGTGTGTGTGTGTGTGTGTGTGTGTGTGTGTGTGTGCATGCGTGTATGTGGGGTGGGTGTTTGTATGTTTGTGTGTGTTTACGAGCTCGTATGTGTGTGTGTATATGTGTGCATGTGCACGTACACGTGTGTGTGTGGTGGGGGGGGGGGGGGGGGGGGGGGTATGCGCACGCGTGTGAACACATACCTACAGGGAGGAAAATCCACGGTGTCATTCGGCCCGGCTTACAAAGCCAAGTTCTCCGTAGACTGGCTGCCCGGCCACTACCACTTGGTGAAGGGCCATCAGCTGTTGGATATTCTCCAGAGAGACCTTCGCACTACACTCACAGCGTATGGCAAAACGACACATGCTGATCTGTTTGAGCTGTTTGTGCCCGACACCGGGCAGGAGGGGGCGGCGGACGAACGCTGCCAGGAGACGTACGCCAAGCAGCCCACCACGTGTAGCCAGCTGCACAGCACGGTTCAGGCGCAGTGCGACGGCGACCTGTTCACGGTTGCTGTGAGCCTGCCCGGAGTACAGCGACTAGGCTGGAACACCGCTGGTATGACGGTGACGCTGGGCGAGCAGCGAGAATGCAAGCTAGAGGCGGTGCTGCAGGGCGTTGGCACTGGCGGTGGCGGCGGCGGTGGCAGTGGCGGGGACAAGAGAGTTCTGTCGTTGAGCGTTGGCCACGCCAAGTGCGGCATTGTCAAGCGAGACAAGGGTGTTCTCAAGTCTGAGGTAGGCACGGTGTGCATGCTACAGTAATGGTAGACTGAATTTGATATTTTGACGCACTCTGTTGAGAATGTGCAGAGTACGGTCGACCTAGGGTAGAGTACGGTCGACCTAGGGTAGCACTGGTCTACAGTACTCCCAGTCTGCGAAGAACTTGAGTCAGCCTGGTAGCCTAGACCGTTCTTCTCTTCCTGTACTGTGGTCTATGCACAGTAGAGTTACCATGTATGCATTGGTACGCTGTGTTTGGTGAACTTTTGGCCTGTTTGTTCTGCCGTACCCGACAGCACTGCAAAACTCTCCCAGAATGTAATTGCTTCATTCAAGTTGAACAAGACTGGGTCATTGGTGTTCTCTTTGTCTTCTTCTATAATCCTGTACATCCTGGCTTGTACTAGCCCATATCTTGTCTACCCCACTGGCATGCTGCATTGCCCTCTGCACGTGGTATCACTACACCATGCCCTACCCTCCAACACAATGCTTCCGTTCATGCGTACTTGCGTGTGTATGTGTATGTGTGTAGCATTATAGTAATAATGCAGATTAATGGGTGCACGCGGCTGCTTCGTGCTACCACTCAAACTATGCTGCTATGATTGCTGGCGCTTTTACTGCATGCTCATGCTTTGCTGCTGGCTACAGTCACGTGCGCTGTACATCACGGTATCCATGTCGGTCACACGCCTTGGTGCATGCTCACATGGTACTCTATGCGTCGTGGCTTTCTATGTGTCATTCAACGTGACACTCAAAGTGACATTCATTCATGCGCGACGCTCAACGTAGGCGGCATGCGTCGTGGGCACTCAACGTGTCATGCTAAAGTTTGCTTAGTTATATATTTCGATCCGTTCTGTGTGTGGATCACTCTTGTCAGATCATTGTTGTTTCACCCACCCACCTCCCATTTCTCATCTCTCATTTACTTTGATAAAGTAAATAAAGGGGTGTTGGCCATGCTCATTTCCGGCTACTCAGGGCTCTCGGTCTTTGTCCCTCGGACGTGACTATCCTCTTGGCTCCGCCATGATCCTGCTCTCTCTGTAGCCTCTCACTTCGCTGGCCAGCACCCTCCTAACCGCAAGCTGCTGTGTGTTGAAGTTAATATGTGTGTGTGTGTGTATATACATGTTTGTGTGTGTGTGTGTGTGTGTGTGTGTGTGTGTGTGTGTGTGTGTGTTTGTGTGTGCTGATTGCAGATCGTCTTCAGGAATGTGAGGTGTCCAATTGAGAATTGCCCGGATGGCAACGGCGGTGCTGGTGCCGGTGATGAAGTCAATACTCGGTGTGGCGAGTATCGTGAGAACTACCGAGTGCCCGTCAGGTGCAACCTGGAAAAACGGGCACTCAAGACGGGCCGGCTGACAGCGTACCGGAGTGAAAGTTTTTAACTCCACACAGATCATGGGCAGCAGCACGGGTTGGCCAGAGAATCTACTTTGAGCTGGACGCCGGTGAAAAAGGTTTGTGTATTTGTTTGTTCGTTCGTTTGTCTATGTGTTTGTTTGGTTGTTTGTCTGTGCGTTTGTCTGTGTGTTTGTCTGTGTGTTTGTCTGCGTGTTTGTCTGTGTGTTTGTTTGGTTGTTTGTTTGATTGACTGGTTCTTTGTTTGTCGGGGATGATGTCACTAACCCGAGATGCGTTGCTCGATCTTATGGACGAAAAAGTGGCAAGATAGTGGTCGAAATGGAGTTTGTGAGGTGTGTGTGGGGAGGGGGGGGGGGGGGAAGGAGGGCAGGGGTGGAGGGGGAGGGCGGGAGTTTATACCAGAGCTAAAGCCTTGTCGCTAGGCTCTGCACCAGCCACTTTTGGTATATCAGACATGGTGCCATTGGTGGTGGCCTGACACCAGGCAAACATCATAAGCTGGTTGTTTTTCTCCACATATTTGTATAGTGGGTGGTATTGGAAATGTTTGAACTTTACTTTCTAAGGCCATGATCACACCAAAATCAGCTACTTTTGGATTTTTATTGCTAGGGATCAGCTGGCTTGCGTGCTTGCTGTTAAAGGGGAAGTGCATCCAGTTTTCAAGTAGGGTCCAGAAGAAAGACAATTTGATATTGGTTCGCATGGCAAATCTCTTGCTTGCATACAATAAGCCAAACTTGCCAAATCGCCAATTGTATGATCACGCCGCCATAGCGACCAGCGCAGTGATGACGCACGTTCTGCTTAGCTCCGCGAGGGAGAAGGTCGATCACTGCAGAAGTTGGTCATTTTCAATTGTCTTGTTGTATTCACGATGTGAAAGAAGGGCAGTGTTCAATGCTGTTAGTGCCATGAACTGCTTGTTAGTAGTCCTCTCGGTTGTGTACATGGATGTGACACCGACAGGAGAAAGCTGGAGTGCGGTTTGGCTCATCGCATGCAAGCGAGAGATATGCCATTCGAACCGATATCAAAATTGTCTTTCATCTGAACCCTACTTGAAAATTCCATGCACTACAGTCACAGAAGATGTCATGCGCTTGAATGGCTTGATTTTTGCCCGTCAATTTTTGAATATCTCGAAACACGCCAATGTTCACAAGAAATTGGAAAGCAGAACAGCAGAGATGTACGCCTTGCACTGTATAATTTTCATGAAGAAGCGAAGACGGCATTGATCCTGAGTGGCAACGTTGTGTTCTATATATTTGCTGGGTATGCAAGAGCCAGGTTTTGTTTCCTAATGTTGAGCATTCTGCCATATCAGCTGCTGCCCCAAGACCAGTGTGCCAGTAGAAGCAAGATGATGAAGATATTGATGACGATAATGTCGTATTCTGGACATTTTGCCCAATATTCCAGAGTTTGGCAATCAAAAACCGTGTTTTTGGGGTGCTCTTTGCAGCCCAGGTGCATGGAGTGGTGTTGGCATCATGCACTGGATCATGATCCGCATGGGATATAGGAAATTCTTCAATAGTTTTGCCTGACAAGTCAAGATTGTTGGACACAAATTGCTGCTGATTCTGCTGAATCCCACACAGTTGTCTCCAGTATCTGTGACTACAGCATAGTGCTATGCTCCTCGTGCTGCTGTGCCATAGTGAAATCGTGATCTCTGGCAGCTTGTGCTTGGCAATCTGCCCCCTCCTCTCTTTCTGCACTGGCCTGACTGTAGCGTGTCCAGGAACCGGTCCATCATGGAGCCAGCGTTCTTAGCTCTGGCACTACGTCCTTCGCTGGCCTGGCTTGTCAAGTTGCTTCCGCATACTGTATTCTGGGGTGTAACGGTACCCTTTCTTGCTGGAGAAGCATCACATTGTTTGCAGTGGGGTTGCTACGGTTCTCTTTCACCTTTCCGCAGCAACATGAGTATCATATCGGTCTCTGTCTGAACAGCAAGCCAATGTGCCAGCGGCCAGTTTTGCTGAAGCATATACCTTGAGTAGAAACAAGGTACAAAGAGGAGTTAGATCATTAGCATGGTCACTGACACTCAGGGATACCCAGGGACACCCAGGGATACCCAGGGATACCCAGGCATACCCAGGCTTACCCAGGGATACCCAGGGATGCCCAGGCATACCCAGGCTTACCCAGGGATACCAAGGCATACCCAGGGATACCCAGGCATACCCAGGGATACCCAGGGACACTCTCAAGGACAGCCGGAAACACCCAGAGACATCCGGGGACGCCCATAGACATCCAGGAACATCCAGGGATACCCGGGAACACCCGGGGACATCCAGGGACACCCGGGGATACCCAGAGACGCTCAGAGACACCCAGGGACTTTCAAGGACTCTAAAGGACGGACTGTGTGGAATGGAGATGATACATACATGATCAAATTGCAAGCAATGTGCCTCCTACAATTTCTTCCAGTCAATCTCCACAAGTTCTGGGCCACCATTATCATCACCATCAGCTGCCGACCCAGTGGAAACGTTTTTGTGCTGCAGTTGCTTCACATGCTTCAAAAGAAGCCTATTGCCGCCGGCTTTAAGGTGTTTCACCTTGTTATCTATATTTTATGTGGTATACGTACGATCCAGCCAGGCGGGCATGGGCACATACTCGAGTCGAAAGTTACAAATTTCTTCAACTCCGTTGCAATCCTCTCTCTCTTCTTCTTCATCGTCATTTGGTGCCTTGTATTGGCCTCCAACCAAAGCGCCAACAATCTACACTCTAGAGGCGCAGTCCAGAAATCCATGGTCATCATCAGAGAAAATCAAACCAAACTGAATAGATGGATGGAAAAACCTACGGTTAACGGTTTCAAAACCAAAGACGAAGCACGGAAACGAGAAAGAACATCGGTGCAATTTCTATATCAGTGTTTTATGTGCACTCACATCCCCCCCCCCCCCCCCTCCCGCTTGGGCTTTCAGGCACTTGTGCAAGCTGTGGCTGATTCAGCTGTGGCAGAAACGTGGACACGTAACCAAATAATTCCAATGTCATGATAAATGGTCCATGGCCCCAGCTTTGCACATTGTGTTAGATTTCATGTAGAGGAACTGGACTTGCAGTGTGGAATCTCTGTCAACCAGTGTCATGTTAGTCACCGTTAGGCTGTCGCCACACTGAGCACCAATAGAAGCCATTCAGCTGGAAATCTGCCTGTCCATATGACAGGCGTGCAACACATTTTTTAGCCATTTTCGTGTGTGTGTGTGTGTATGTATGTGTGTGTGTGTGCGTGTGTGCGTGCGCGTGTGTGTGTGTGTGTGTGTGTGTGTGTGTGTGTGTGTGTGTGTGTGTGTGTGTGTGTGTGTGTGTGTGTGTGTGTGTGTGTGTGTGTGCATGTCTCTGTGTGTATTCATGCTATGCTACAGTGTCAAAGCGAGGTCTAATGGTCTATCCAGTGGATTGTAAATTCCAGTCATCGTCTGGCAGTCCAAGACCAGTGATCCAGAATGGGTGAGGATACTGACACATGTAATCACACTCATGCCTCGGTTATCCGGATCCCAAAGTTACAGGCACTTCGGTCTACCGGGCATCCTTCGAGCAAGTTTCAGTGGAAATATTACTACTCTTTTGTCACTTTTTGTGGAAATAGTGACGTCATAATTATGTACTATCTACGGCCTTTCCTCATCAGCATGCATGTGATTCTGAGTTGCGGACATTTCAAAGTTATGTGCAGTGCCCCGTCTCAGACTGCGTGGATAAACGAGGTATGAGCCAGTGTACTAGAGACCCTACCTCACCAGAGGACTGACCTCACCAGAGGACTGACCTCACCAGAGGACTGACCTCACCAGAGGACTGACCTCACCAGAGGACTGACCTCACCAGAGGACTGACCTCACCAGAGGACTGACCTCACCAGAGGACTGACCTCACCAGAGGACTGACCTCACCAGAGGACTGACCTCACCAGAGGACTGACCTCACCAGAGGACTGACCTCACCAGAGGACTGACCTCACCAGAGGACTGACCTCACCAGAGGACCGACCTCACCAGAGGACTGACCTCACCAGAGGACTGACCACATGATTTCACTGGTCACATAACATAACCCATGCACAGCTGTTTGCCTTCATCTGACGTAGACTGCCATCTTGTTAGTCCCTAAACCTCCAACTTTTTTCTCCTCTTGTTCTGGTTGGAACTAGCTCGGCCTTTCGGTATTGAGCACTCTACACAGTCCGTTAACCTCTTCTAAAATCACCACCATTGCCACCACAACTACACGCTTACACTGCAGTTTCAATTGTTAATGTCTCAAATGTTTGCCCTTGGTAAAAAAATAAGTAAAGCAAGTCTCTGAACTTCATTGAGACCACATCAGAGAACCTTGCGTTTCTTGGTAAAATAGGTGCTTTTTTCCAGTCACTCAACGTGTTTATTATTTTAATTTTTTTAATTTTACTATTATTATTTTTTCGGCAACGCAGATGATGATGATGATGACAACTGTTCTGATGAGGTCTCAATGACCGAGACAGCTGTCAGAAGGAATCTCTATGTTTACTTGCATTTCATCGTTTAATGTCCAGGCAGCCGCTCTGCTCTCCGCTGATGAGATCCCCAAAGTTTGAAGCAGTCAGCTTGGAGTCCCCT